AGAGTGCAATGATGGTGCCAACTTGGGCCAGTAAAGCAACGTCCTCCACAACTAGACGGAAGAACAAAAGCACAGCAACTTGTCTGTTCCCCTTCCCCCAATTCCCCAGCGCTGTTCCCATCCCCCAATTCCACAATAAAAATCTTCAAAAAAAATAAAAATAAGAAAACACACCTCTCAACTGTAGCTCACACCCCACTGACTGCACCAAACAAGTTGAAACTTGTCACACTGTTACTAAGGTTCGACACACAACTTCCCATATTGAAGATCCCTGCTTTTTTGGATGGCACTCGGCAGCAGCATTCACTGTATTTTTTTTTTTTTTAAGCTGAGCCATCCTGCCACCTGTTGGCAGCTCAGCGACAGCTCATCTCGGGCCAGGAATCGAACTGCTGTTGCTCAGAGCTCACTCTTTTTTCTTTTAAGATTCTATTGGGGACTTGGGGGAGGGAAACAGACAAGTCGCTGTCGTTTTGTTCTTCAGTCTAGTTGTGGAGGACGCTGCCCCACTGGCCCATGTTGGTATCATCATTGCACTCTTCCCGGGTGAGGCAGATCGGTCGCCAGCCTCTGGACGGCCGCTCACGGCAGCTCACACCGGCTGCCAGCCACACACGGCAGCCCATGGCAGCCCACGCCGTCGCCGGCAACTCATGGCAGCCCAGTTCCAGGTCGAGCTGTTGTTCACCATCTTAGCTGGAGAGGGCAGTGTTACTTGCCCCCATGTGGGATCTGAACTGGGGTCCTGCTGCCCAGAGCTGGCATCTCAAGTCAGCTCTTAACCAACGCGCCACTCGGCCGGCCCAGAGCTCAAACTCTTGAGCGAACTCTTAACCAACTGAGCCACTCATCTGGCCCCCACTGTATTCTTTAATCACAGCGGAAAGGCTCTGTGTCATACATTGCTTCTGGTATGGCAATTTCTGTCAAAAACATTACAGTGTGTCCTAATCTACCTTATTCACTGGATCTGGCACCGTGTGACTTCTGGCTCTTCCCCAAAGTCAAAATGGTTCAGGACATCGAGGCAGCCATAGCAGCACAACTAAAGACACGAAAGAGGACTTCCAAAACTGCTTCAGAAAGTGGCAAGAATGATGGGATAAGTGTGTGTGTGTGGCAGTGGTGGTGAGGTATTTTGAGGGAGATTAATGGCAATGTGTTTTTTACTGTAATAATTTTTTTTTTAATTTAAACATTCACCGTGTTTTTTATCACATCTTGTAGTTCCCTAGGAGCAAATTGCTGCACTTTTCCCCTTTTATTTCAGTTCTTCACCCAGTTGTTTTCATACCGTATTGAGATGCTTTTTGAAAAGAGCTGTTTATGTGTCTGCCAACCTTCTGTTACTACTTGAACCAAAGCACTTGTATTATCTGTTTTCTGTATTGGTTTTTCCCTAAGAATTCATTGGAAAATGGTTCCATTACTGCAAAGATTTTTTTTTTTTTTATTTAAAGATTTTATTGGTGAATTGAGGGAGGGGAACAGACAAGTTGCTGTCCTTTTGTTCTTCAGTCTAGTTGTGGAGGGCGTCGCTTCACTGGCCCATGTTGGTATTATCATTGCGCTCTTTCCGGTTGAGGCAGTCGCTCGCTGGCCATTGGACAGCTGCTCACGGTCGCTCTTGGCAGCTCACACTGGCTGCCGGCTGCTCACACTGGCTGCCAGCCACTCATGGTATCTTATGGCAGCCCACTGCAGCAGGGGCTGCAGCCTACGCCGTCGCCAGCGACTCATGGGAGCCCAGCTGGAGGTCAGGCTGTTGTTCACCATTGTAGCTGTAAAGGGCGCAGCGTCACTGGCCCATATGTGGGATCTGAACCGGGGCCCGGCTGCTCAGAGCTGGAGTCCCAAGCCAACTCTTAAGCAACGCACCACTCGGCCAGCCCTATTTATTTATTTTTAATTTTTAAAATTTTTCTATTGGGGAATTGGGGAGAACAGTGTTGGGGAAGAGGAACAACATTGTGTTTATCTAGGACCCATCAGCTCCAAGTTAAGTTGTTGTCTTTCAATCTTAGTTATGGTGGGTGCAAGCTCAGCTCCAAGTCCGGTCACCACTTTCGATCTACTTTTAGAGAGGCGTAGTCCACCATCCTATACAGGTGTCGAACTGGTGATCCTGTTGCTCAGAGCTTGTGCTCTTAACCAACTGAGCCACTTGGCCAGCCCTACTGCAATGATTTTCAGAAATTACTGCCCTAATCCAGATGACTAAACAGTAAGGTGTTTCAGTCATTTGAATCTTTAAACATCAGCGGGTATTGGAGTTGAATAGCTCATACCAGAGTCACCCATAGCTTGTCTGCCTTTCCTAATAGCCTTTACTTCTGGCAAGATAAAATTTGTAGTCATCTAAGGAAGGAAGGCCATAAGCAATGTTTAATATCCTCATTTCCCCTTCTTTTCTTCACACCTTGACCTTAAGTTGGAGGTTGTGGCTCTAGAACCCTGCCAAGTACTTACTGGGGTGTGATTTGGCTGTTGGTCCATAGGAGAATGCATTGTCTAATTGTAGGGGATCAGAGCACTCAGCATGACCAGCAGCATGGCAGATCTAGAAGATGGGGAACTTTTCCTCTCAGGCACCTGTAGTACCCCTCTTTTTATCATTTTACCTGCACGTCCAGATAGAACTTTGCTTCCTGGGAGACCTTTGTCTGCTTCCTAATACAATGTTGTCTCATAAACAGTTCGTATAACTAAAAATAGTGTTAAAGTTATTTAAGTAATGGAGGTAAGTCAGAATACATTTATTAGCCAAAAGTGAGCAAGAACTCACTTGAATGATCACAGTTCCCACTTGTCCCTTCTACTTCCTTCTGGATTCTTAGTGGTCTTTTAGGACATTGCGGGAAGAAACTTTAGGAGTTAGGAGATGGAAGGTAGTGTTTCTTTCTAAGTGGGAAAAAGTCCAACTCTGCATCTACTATCAGAGTGATTTTAATCAATTATTTTCCATCTTTCTCTAAGAAGATAGCTATGCCAACTCTTGTGGGAATGGCTATTCTTTTTCTTATATTTAGTTTAATTATTTGCTAATTAATGGATGCCCGTCCAGCAGAACAGAGCCTAAGGCGGTTGTATCAAGCAGTTTCATACAATCTGCCAATGCTTTACCTCTTGAGAATTTTTTATAATCGTGGGTTGTGCATTTCTTCACTTCTGTTGAGTACCTTTATTTGCTTGTGGCTTGGATATTAATCTTTTTCATTTCTTGTGCTTTACAAGATTAAGATTCCCCCTCAGATGGTACTGTAATGAAAACATTTTGACAAGAGTTGGTTTCGGGTCTTTTGATGTGATTATTTCTTAGATTAAGAAGGGGAAATGCTTCTGATTGCTATCCTATTTCCTTCTTTTTCCCCCTCACCTACACATTTCCACTTACATGCAGGAAGCCTGTCTAGCAGTCCAGAGGAGATGTCTGGAACTGAGGAGGGGAGGGAGACGTCCTCAGGCATTGAAGTGGAGGCCTCAGACCTGAGCTTGAGCTTGACGGGGGATGATGGTGGCCCTAACCGCACCAGCACGGAAAGTCGAGGCACAGATACAGAGAGCTCAGGTGAAGACAAGGACTCTGACAGTATGGAGGACACTGGCCATTACTCTATCAATGACGAAAACCAAGTCCATGATCGTTCAGAGGAAGAGGAGGAAGAAGAGGAGGAGGAAGAAGAGCATCCTCGGCGTTGTGTACAGCGCAAGCGGGCCAATCGTGACCAGGACTCATCAGATGATGAGCGGGCCCTGGAGGACTGGGTGTCCTCGGAGACATCAGCCCTTCCCCGACCTCGCTGGAAAGCCCTTCCTGCCCTTCGGGAGCGGGAGCTGGGTTCAAGTGCCCGCTTTGTATACGAGGCTTGTGGGGCAAGAGTCTTTGTGCAGCGTTTCCGCCTGCAGCATGGGCTTGAGGGCCATTCTGGTTGTGTCAATACCCTGCACTTTAACCAGCGTGGAACTTGGCTGGCCAGTGGCAGCGATGACCTGAAAGTGGTGGTTTGGGACTGGGTGCGGCGGCAGCCAGTTCTGGACTTTGAGAGTGGCCACAAAAGCAATGTCTTCCAGGTGAGGCAAGGGAGCAGAATAGCAATTGAGAAAATCAGGCATGAGTTAGACAAACTTGAGCTGTTGCCTGGAGTGGAAGCTGATAGTTTGTAGAAATCAGACATCAGAACTCAATCCTGCATTGGCTCCCATAATGTCTTAGAGGAGTTAAATAGACTGAAAGACCCATGGCAAGCTTTTGTTTCCTTGAGCATAAAGACTGTTGGAAGTATCATCATAGGTGGGGTGCTTGGAAATCATCAAGAAGGTACTACATGTGCCCTGGTAGAAGGCATATTTTGGGTTGTCGGAAAAGTCATGATGCATTTTTGCAGTGAGAAACAGAAAAAATACATCATGACTTTTCCGACAACCCAATAGTATAAGAGCAGAGGCACTTGAGCCAGACTGCCTGGCTTCAAATCCCGGCCCAAGTGCTTACTGTGTGATTTTGGGCAAGTTATTTAACCTCTGTCTTCAGTTTAATTGTCTGTAGTATGAGGCTAATAGCAGTGTTACGAAGGTTAAATAACAGTAGAAACTTAGCAGTTAGAACTGTGCTTGGTAGTTAATAAACATTTGGTAAATGTTAGTTAATGTCATTATTCTTTAGAGATTTTACTCATCAGCCCAATATATCATAGTGTTTTTAGCCATTTATCCCTAAGTATGTTCTTTTTCCTCCCCCAATATCTCCTGTAGTTTCCTTTTTCTTTGTAGCAAGTTTATGTTTGCCTTCTGAATCAAGATAGAACTTCCTCCTTTTTCCCCTTACTTTTCTCCCCTAGTAGGTAGAGTCCTAGTTCACCTGAGCACTTATCCTGTACCAGTTCAACCTTCTAGAGTCCACTGAAATGCTCTCTTACATCAGAAAGGTTTTCTTCTCTCCTCCTTTAAGTCTTGGAAGAAATTGGACTTTAGCCAACTATGTAAGAGTAGGAGCTAAGTTTCCAGCTGTTGTGCAGCAGAAGGGGGTGAATTGGGGTGGTTGTCACATTTTCTCCTCTCAAATTCACCTACTCTGTTTTTTGTGTGTCCCTTTTTTCATTCTTAACACCCAGGCCAAGTTCCTTCCTAACAGTGGTGATTCCACCCTGGCCATGTGTGCCCGTGATGGGCAGGTGCGGGTAGCAGAGTTGTCTGCCACACAGTGCTGCAAGAATACGAAGCGTGTGGCCCAGCATAAGGGAGCGTCCCACAAAGTAAGTAAGCCCTTCCCCAAAGGATGTGCAATCCAGCTCCCTTGTGGGTCTCAGCCAAGGCCCTCTTGTATCTCTGCTCATTGTGGTCACCTGCCTCCTTTCAACCCTAAGATTTGTAGATAAGGGAGAAAAAGCAGCCACCAACCTAAACTTCTTGGAAGGCAATTTTTTGAGAAATCTATAGATCTTGCACATGTAGTGTTCAGTTGATTATACCTAATCTCTAAGCAGAGCCATGGTTAGTTGGAGTTCCTTGAGGTCTCTTAGCCTTCCAAACCTTTAAACTTTAGTTCTGATCATATTTAGAACATCTTATTAGCAGCTCCAGGGTGCTAGTGGTTGGCTCCTTGTAAGAGCCCCAGTTTTTCTGCTCACAACTCTTAGTGTACAAACAGCACTATTTCTGGAAGCTTTATTTAGACCTGGGACTATAGGTCAAATACTCATGGTGGCAGCCAGTGAGGAACTAAGAGCTGCCTAGTCTCAGAGTAGGTACCATGTTCTTCCGTGCCATGGAAAGAGGATGGTCCTCTCATCTTACAAAGCATGAGCAAATATGTAGGTGGACCTGGAGTAGCCTTTTCTAGATGGCTCAGGTAATATGAAAGTTACCATTTCTTTGAATCTTAAGCATACCTCTTTAACCCACTAGATAACTAATTTTTAGAACTAAGATGTAGAGAATTAAAGTTGAGCATCATTTCTCTCCCCACCTGAACATGTGAAATTGATTTTATTTGAGAATGAGGCCTAGTGGCTGATACTTTACTTTGGTAGCACTGTTCAAATCCCCTGGGGACTTAGTTAAAATAGCAAATCACCTGTCCTTTTGACTTGTATTGAGTAAACAACCTGTAAATAATTCTCATAGAACAAGAAAGAATGAGCTTAATTATCTCCTTTCCTAGGATTTTACAATATTAAAAGGCAGTCATTTCTCTTGCTGCAACATTTTAAATGCAGCCCTTCCTAAAGATAAAGGAATGAACTAGATGACCTCTAATTCTAATCTTTAGAGAGACTCATCCTTTCCTTTTTGCCTCTTTCAGTTGGCCCTCGAGCCAGACTCTCCCTGTACATTCCTATCTGCAGGTGAAGATGCAGTTGTCTTCACCATTGACCTCAGACAAGACCGGCCAGCTTCGTAAGTATAGCCATAGTATTTTTACAGAACTGGATCTTTTAGTCTTGAAAATATTCCACATGGCCTAGGTAATGCTCAACTCTCTGGTCCATCATAATGGTCCCTTTGTGCTATGATAAGAAGCAGATTTGGGTTTAGGGGAATTCCTTGCTTCTTTGATCTTATTTGTCTGTCAGCAGTAAAGTACTATTCTACCTAGAAATAAAGGTACTAGCCTACCTTTATTTCTAAAGCAAGGTTCAGTTAATAACTCTTCATTCACTTGGGTGCTACTTACCCACAAGAAGCATATCACTCTAAAAAGCAACTTAGATACTGTATTTCCCCCATGTATAAGACGCATCCCTTTTCAAAAATTTGGGGTCTGAAAACTGGGTGAGTCTTATATAGTGGTTGTATGAGTGCAAAAACAAGCGCAAAAAAAGTGGGAAAAAATGCAAGTAAAAAAATCTACAACCACTGTATAAGACGCACCCAGTTTTTGGACCCTAAATTTTTCGAAAAAGGGTGCGTCTTATAAATGGGGAAATACGGCATATAGAAACAGGTAATTAAATTATAAATTTTAAACAAAAATATTGGTAGATATAGAGCTCTTATCATATCACAGCTCATTTTTACATGAATTTGAGACTCATGGGTAATTATATGCCTTTTCAGCTGTGTGATATCATAGCATCTTGTTCGGATCCAGGCAGTTCTGGGGTGTGTGTGTGTGAGTGTGTGTGTGTGTGTGTGTGTGTCTCTCAAATAAGAAATTCAAATAATAGAGTATATGGACAAAATGTAAATTCTCTGTCATGCACACCTCCCCTGCCCCCCACTTTTCTGGCTTTTGGTAGTCATTGTTAAAAATTTTGAATACCTTTCCAATCCTTTTTGTACATTTTTATGTGTCTTAATATACACTTTTCCTCATAAATCTGATAATTATGTGTATATAGAAATATGTATATATCTATAAACATGTATATTGCTTTTTTCATGTCATAATGTATTTTATTTATTTTAAAGACTAATATTTCAGGAATACAGTTGTTGGTTTTTTTAATTGGGGATTTGGGAGATGGGAACAGTGCTGGGGAGTTGGGGGAAGGGGAGCAGACAAGTTGCTGTCCTTTTGTTCTTCAGTCTAGTTGTGGAGGATGTTGCTTCACTGGCCCATGTTGGCACCATCATTGCGCCTCTTCCCGGGCGAGNGCTACACACGGTAGCCCATGGCAACCCACTGCCACAGGGGCTGCAGCCTACGCCGTCGCCAGCAACTCAAGGCAGCCCAGCTCCAGGTTGAGCTGTTGTTCAGCATCTTGGCTGTGTAGGGCAGTGTCACTGGCCCTCATATGTGGGATCCGAACCGGGGCCCTCTGGTGTCCCAAGCCAGCTCTTAACCAATGCACCACTCGGCCAGCCCCATAATGTATTTTAGAGATCTTTCTCCATCAGACCATAAATGCCTACCTCATTTTTAACCATGATATGTACATTACATCATTGGCATACCAGTTTATTTAACTACTGCCCTATTGATGGATTATCTAGAGTACTTATTGTCTTGTTAGACTTAAAAATTATAGCAAATCTTGTGTACCAATGCCAATATTAAATAAGGGATGTCATTGATTTACATAGCATACAAGTAAAATGTAAGTTAATTTAGGGAATATAATATTAAGGCTGATTGTTATTAGATATAAGTATAGAAAAGTTGTGTAGAGTGTGGAGGAATTTAAAAAACTACTTAAATGATGGAAATGTTTTAGGCTTGCAGAAAGGATATATTGGTTACTTATATAAACTTTCAGGAGGATGAAGGTTGGGAGATACTGGGTTTTATATTTGAAAGGGAACAGGCCTGGGTGGCAAGGGGTCTGCCTTCTAGTACTAGCCTGCGTTATTTAGCTTTGAGAAAATCACTTACTCTCGAACTGAATGATGTTTGTTATTTTCAGTTCTAAAGTTCTGTGGTTCTGTGATGATAATAGAACATGATTAGCAAATTTTCAAGAGCGGATGGGAAGGGCAAAGATGCAAAAAATGACATGAATTTGTTCTATTTGCTTTGGTAGAGTTACAGAGAAGAATGAGATCTTATTCTGTGAATCAGGGTCACAGGAAAAATTAGGCCACAGTGAATTGGGAATCTGGTTCTGGTAATGCACAGAGCAGATAACTGTGGCAGATTGTTGAATTTGGAGTGGAATTATGTAGGCAGAAAAATCTGGCTGGGAGATGACCAGTGGAACCAGATGATAGATGGAACAGAAATTAAAAGGGGGAAGATAGGAAAGACTTACAGTAGGAGGAGACCCACATTCTGGATTTGGGAAGTAAGAGACAATGAGCCTTCAAAAAGTTTTTGGTTTAGGGGTTGAAGAAGTAGAAGACTGGAATGAGGTGGAGGGCTGAATGTGAAGGTCATGACCAGAAAATCCAAGCTATCTGTATGTGTTAAGCTGATGCCCAAACATCCACTTATATCAGAGGCATTTTTGCGTGAAGTTGACATAGGGGAATTTTTATTTTGTATGTATATGATAGCGAAGTCTCTGGAAACTGGTAAAATTGGCAAACATCTTAGGAAAAGAGTTGGATTTGGAGCTGTGGGTGGATATTCCTTTATCCAGTGGAAACCAGTTTGAGATATTCTTCAAAGGAATCCTTTGATGTATAATTATTTTTCCATTTTTGCTGGAATATACCTGCTCATTAAAAATGCAAATTTTAAGGCAAAGTTTGATAGGTTTGTTTCATATAGTTTCATGTGCTTTATCATTCTTTTTTTTTTTTTTTTAAATTGGGGAGTTGGGGGATGGGAACAGCGCTGGGGAATTGGGGAAAGGGGAACAGACAAGTTGCCGTCCTTTTGTTCTTCCGTCTAGTTGTGGAGGACGTTGCTTCACTGGCCCATGTTGGTATTATCGTTGCGCTCTTCCCGGATGAGGCAGATCAGTCGCCGGCCTCTGGATGGCCGCTTACAGCAGCTCTTGGCAGCTCACACTGGCTGCCGGCCACTCACGCTGGCTGTCAGCTACACACAGTAGCTTATAGCAGCCGACTGCAGCAGGGGCTGCAGCCTACGCCATCGTCGGCAACTCACGGCAGCCCAGCTCCAGGTCAAGCTGTTCATCATCTTAGCTGTAGAGGGCAGTGTTACTGGCCCTCATGTGGGATCCAAACCGGGGTCCTGCTGCTCAGAGCTGGCATACCAATTCATCTCTTAACCAACGCACCACTCGGCCGGCCCCCTAATGACATTTTTAATAACGTTTATATACTATTCTTTTAATGGAAGGCTGCAGGAATTTTAAAATCAAAATCTTTCCACTTTGCCTAGGGCAGTTCTAAGCTGGAGTGACTGACCAGAGAGGATGCTAAAATAATTTCTTTACAAAAAAATTGTTGTCATGGTTATATTTCTCTCAGTTTCCATAGCAACAGAAATGAGATTAAAAGTAAAAACTAAAGCTCAGTTCCTTTCTTTCCTGTCTTTTATTTTCTGTAAATTTATTAATCTTTATGATGTCATATTTGACTGGTTGGACACTTAGCCCTGGGAAGAGTATTCATAGTGCTACCCTTAAGGCTGGGACAAATTATAGCTGAAATCCAGAATCTTCTGGCTCAAACTTTGAAATTTTATAGTGTTTCCCCAGGGCCTCGTGCTCTCTTAAGGGTCCCTTTTTGTTGGTGGTACAACTCAAAGAATAATTTAGAAATTATTTACTTACCAGCCTTGAGAACAACCATATCCTGAAGAACGGCTTGTCCTCATTTGCTTCAGATAAGGGAATAAGAATGCTATTTCTCTTTGGATTACCCCTGTACTAGAAAACTGGCTTCTCATTTCTGTGTTCCTTTTTTTTTTTTTTAAGATTTTTGTTGGGGAATTAGGGAGGGGAACAGTGTTGGGGAATTTGGGAACGGGAACATTGTGTTTTTCCAGAACCCATCAGCTCCAAGTCAAGTAGTTGTGTCAGTCTAGTTGGAGGGCACAGCTTAGTGGCCCATGTGGGGATTGAACTGGCAACCTTGGTGTTATGAGCACTGTGCTCTAACCAATTGAGCTAACCAGCTGCCCCCTCTGTGTGTGTTTTTAACATTGGGTTTTAGGTGACACTTTTCTGGAATCAGAGAGAGAGACTGATCTTGAGGTCTTTTCCGTGTACTCTGTGATGCATTCTCCCCTCCTCCCTGCTCCCAGTTCATTGGGAACATGTATTCATAAATGAAGGATGGGAAGGTGTGGGTAGCATTTTCTGTTTAATGATTGGTTATAATGTAGGACTCCAGCTAAACTGAGACTACCTGAGGAACAATACTGTCGTATACCTTTAACTTACACTTATTGAGGAACACCAGAAAATGACTTCACTACATTTTTTTTTCCATCCCCAAAGTAGAATTTAGTAAATATATATGTAGGCAGCTTTTATCTTCCTCTTATGTTCAAAACAAACATTAACCACTCTTTCTTTCACTCTTCTGAGAATCTGTTTTGTTTCTTATTAGCTGTGTCTGTATTACTCTCTTTGCTGTCACTTGCCATGACCATCTGGATCTTTCGGATAATATAACTTCTATGCTTTTCTACTCTTCAAGGAAACTGGTAGTGACAAAAGAGAAGGAGAAGAAAGTGGGGCTGTATACAATCTATGTAAATCCTGCCAATACCCACCAGTTTGCAGTAGGTGGACGAGATCAATTTGTAAGGTGAGTTTGTGGCTCTTTTGTGTCTTTGAGAGTTTAAGATTCTGATGCATTGTGTACTACAAGGGGTCCCTTATGGAAAGGTATGAATTTCCTAGGAATTCATTAACCACTATCTTTGAGGTTTTTACCCTCTTCCAAAAGAGTTTAACTCCTTGTGAATTATTCTCCCTAATGTAGCAATCTTTGAGGGATGGCTTAACATATTATAGAGATTATCAAATTTTAAAGACGTTTGATCAATTGATCCAAGGTCCGCACATAGCAGCTAAGTCATAAACCCAGGTTTCCTAGCAAGTGCTGTAATATCTTCCACCATTTTTCATATATAAATTAACATGCACCAGAAATTTTGAATGCTGGTTTCAGATACAGAAATGATTTGACTTGGGAGCACTCAATGTGAACTTAGCATTTTTGGCTCCTGCTGTTTTGAACCACTTTTCTTTATCTGTAGTGATATTTTTGTTACTGTGAATATCTGTTGTAACACTGGCTATTGAGGCATATCCTAAGGAAAACAGTTCATGGATTCAATCCCTTTGTGTACCAGTTAATTTCGTTCTGGCCCTTATTCACAACTGTATCCCATCCCTATTCATTTGGCCTATTTTAACTATATTTCTTCTGTTGCTGAGGGATCAGTTTGAAAGGGAGAAGAGAAGAGATCACGAGGGAAATGAATGACTTTTTGCTTTCTTGATGGTGGGTGAAAAGCATTATTTTCCTTTTTAAATGAGAGCACATTTGTGTAACTATATTTTGAAATTTATTTATAAGAAAGGAGAAGGAAAGTAAGGTTTCCCCATAAAGAAGAACGACAAACAGGAAGACAGAATATTCCATAAACCAAAATATTAAATATTTAATTATTTTATTTTATTAAGATTTTATTGGGGAATTGGGGGAGGGGAACAGCATTGGGGAATCAGGGAAGGGGAACAGACAAGTTGCTGTCCTTTTGTTCTTCAGTCTAGTTGTGGAGGACGTTGCTTCACTGGCCTATGTTGGTATTATCATTGTGGTTTTCCCTGGTGAGGCAGTCACTTGCTGGCCATTGGACGGCCGCTCACGGTGGCTCACGGCAGCTCACGCTGGCTGCCAGCCACTCACGGTAGCTCATGGCAGTGTACTGCAGCAGGGGCTGCAGCCTACGCCGTCATCAGCAAGGCAGCCCAGCTCCAGGTCGAGCTGTTGTTCACCATCTTAGCTGTAGAGGGCGCAGCATCACTGTCCCTCATGTGGGATTCGAACCGGGGCCCTGCTGCTCAGAGCTGGCATCCCAAGCCAACTCTTAACACACCGCTTGTCCGGCTCCTACATATTTAAATTCTTTAAACTAATTTGCTGACATGCTGAAGTTTATGGCTTGGTGACAGTTGAGAGCTGTGATTTAGACTTAGTTTAGAGAGAAAAATGTCTGACTATCAGCTGATATAGATTTGCTGAAGAGCAATAATTGGTAGTATAGCAGTCTCCTATTCTATTTCTCTTTCCCTGGTTCATTTAGCAAACATTTCCTGAATATTCTCTTTATGTTGGATATTCTTTTTATGCAGGATATTAAACAAGGCATTGTAGAGAATACATACATATGTATTTTTCATTCATCTGTTCATCAAGCATTTACTGAGCATCTACTGTGTGCTAGATATGCACTTGGCTAGACATATTCTCTGCCTTCAAGGAGCATTTTGGGGAAACAGATATATAAGGATTATAAATATTAAGTAACATACCCAGTATCACTCATCTAGTAAGTGGCAGAGTTAGTATTTGAATTCAGATCAGACTCCTTAAATATGGTAGAAACCATTTCATTATGCTGTTCTTTCTCACAGAGGAAGTATTAAAGGCAAATGCAAGTCAGTATTTCAGACAGAGGGATGATATGTGTGGAGGTAAAGATAGCAAAATATGACATAGTATGTTCAAGGAAGCATTGTTTTTATTTGTTGTTTTTGTTTTGATTTTTGTATAATGTATGGGATCTTTGAGAAGTGGTAGGCAACCATACTAAAGAGTTTAGACTTTAATAGAAAGTACAAAATCACTGAAGAGATTTAAGCAGGAAATTTACATAAAATTTTGCATTTTAGACATAATTCTGGTGACAGTATGAAAAAGGAAATCAGTTTAGAAGAATAATACATATAATCTAGGAAAAATTGACTAAGGGTAGAGAAAGCAGATAAACTCAAGAAATGCCCCAGAGAGTCGAATTGACAGGAAAGAAATTAGCTATATAGAAGAGAAAGGACCTGGTTTCTGGTTTCTGCCTAAATTTAGGATAGTGCCATTAACAGATTCAGGGTAATGGGTAAGTTTAGAATGAGTTTAGTTTTAGAAGAAGGAGAGTTTACTTCTGGGCATCCCATTACAGCATATAGTTGGCATGTAGATATGCAAGTTCAGACAATTCAGTTTGTGAACTTATCCTGGAAAAAGTGCTACATACCTCATTGCTGAATATCACTACGGTCGTCTTTGAAGTACTCCCCTTGGGAAGCTATGTACCAATGCCAGCGCCTAGTCCACCCTTCAAAGCAATTTTGGAACTCTTTTTCTGGAATGGCCATCAGAGCTGTCATTGTATTACCCTTGATGTCCTGAGTGTCATCAAAATGTCTTCCTTTCAATATTTCCTTTATCTTCAGGTAAAGAAAAAAAATCATTGGGGGTCTGATCAGGTGTTCCAATACAGTTATTTGTTTACTGGCTAAAAACTCTCTCACAGCCAGTGCTGTGTAAGCTGGTGCATTGTCGTGATGCAAGAGCCATGAATTGGCGAAAAGTTCAGGTCGTTTTCGTCTTTTTTCACACAGCCTTTTCAGCACCTCCAAATAGTAAACTTGGTTAACTCTCCAGTTGGTACAAATTCATAATGAATAATCCCTCTGATAGCAAAAAAAGGTTAGCAACAGCCTTGGAACAAGTTCGCGAACTTAATTGTTGGACCTCGTAAATCTGGAGCTCAGAATAAGTGTGGGCTGGAGACACAGATTTATAAAACATGTCTGCATTAGTTGGTAATTAAAGCATTGGCAATGAAATTTGATCACCAAAGGAAAGTACTGATTAGAATTCTCTCCTCCATCTCCCTTTTGAGTCTCTGGCCTCTTTGAGAATGTAAGGAGAACTATGATCCATTCTCCCTGGAAAATGCACTTAAGCACAGTTTTTGGATGTTCACATACTACCTAGATGCTAGGTTAAAATTTCCTTCGAGTCCGAGAACTTAAGTCCAAACCTCTGGGAATGTCAGCATTTAAGGGATGGACACAGAAAGAAAACCCCATGAACAATATTAGGGAGTGGTTGGACGTCAAGGAAAGAGTGTTTCAGGGAAGGAGTAATGAACAATCTCGGGACGAGAGAGTAAGGCCTGAGAAGTATCTTGTTGGCATTGGCAGTTAGGTAACTGATTACTTTAGCCAGAGAAGTTGCAGTGGTGAGTTGAGGGCCAAAACTAGATGGGAATGGATTGAGAAGTGACTAGGAAGTGAGGAAGTGAAAATATTGAATGTAGATTACTCTTTGAAATTGACTGCAAGGGGAAGGACAGAAAAAGCAATAATAGGAAAGGACAGTCAGTAGAAGGAGGATATTTAGAAAGGGGGCAGACAGTGATGAGGAAGAGGTTGAGAATGGACTAATCAAACAAGGTCCTTGGAGGGATGAAATTAAGAGCAGCTGTGGAGAGATGAGACTCAGAGTTGAGGAGACTGACAGGTGAGAACAGGGATGGGATCTGTGTTGTCTCTCACTATATTTCCAGCACCCAGCATAATACTTGGCACATAATAGGTGTAATAGAAATTTGAATGAATGATTAGAGTTTGGATTGGAGAAAGGAGGGAAGGTGAAGGCGGTTTGATGATTGATGGGAATGAAGGAAGGAGAGGGAATCTTGAGAAAATAACAGGTGGTGGTTTAAGATGTGGTTGTGCTGTATGAGAGGGAGAACTGGCCAAATCCTCTTTCAGGAAAGGGTGAGAGATTTACTGACTTACAGAAAGCATGGTCCCTGCTCATGAGTATAAACCTAATTGGGGAGATAGCATACACACAAAAGCTCTATAATTTATTTCTGTGAAAATAAATGAAGTGATATAAAAGCTGAGAGCAGGGCTAAGCCACTTCAAACTGATATAGCTGAAGGTTACCCCTCGAAATGGGAAATACCTGGATAAAAGAGTTAGGATTTGGAAAGGGGTCAGGAGAGGAGGACCTTCAAGCTTAGTTGAAGAATGTCCTTTATGTGTCCTGACATGAAGCTGACTGCTGTTCATCTCACTACATCAAATTACATCTCTTCAGGGGATCAGTTCGTACATTTTTTTTTTTTTTTAAGATTTTATTGGGGAAGGGGAACATTGTATTTTTCCAGGACCCATCAGCTCAAAGTAAGTTGGTGTCCTTCAGTCTTAGCTGTGGAGGGCGTAAGCTCAGCACCAAGACCTGTCGCAGCTTTCAGTCTAGTTGCTGGGGTGGGGGGTGGCAAACTGGAAACCTTGTGAAGGGCATGCGCTCTAACCAACTGAGCCATCCTGCCTCCCATCGACAGCTCGCAGCTACTCAGCTCAAGGTGCCGTGTTCAATCTTAGTTACGGGGGGTCACAGTCTGCCAACCCATGCAGGAGTCGTACCAGCAACCTTGTTAAGAGCATGTGCTCTCACCAGCTGAGCCGTCCGGCTGCCAGTTGGCAGCTCAGCTCGGGCACAGCTCACTGGCCCGTGTGGGAATCGAACCGGCAACCCTGTTGCTCAGAGCTCATGCTCTAACCAACTGAGCCACATGGCCGGCCCACAGTTTGTAAATTTTGACATTTTCATTGCTTCTTCAACCACAGAATTTATGACCAGAGGAAAATTGATGAGAATGAGAACAATGGAGTACTCAAGAAATTCTGTCCTCATCACCTGGTAAGATTCACGAAGGGCCAGTGGCTCCAGGCTTCCGTGACTTGACCCCAAGGCTGTTCCCAAACTTATTGGTATGGTGGGAAGAGCTTGGACTTTCGAGTCAGACGCCTACCTGGACTTGAATCCTGGCTCTACCCCTTACCAGCTTTGTGATCTTGGGCAGTCAGTCACCTCACCTGTGTTGGCCACAGTTTTCTTATTGACAAAATAGAAATAACTGCCTTATACAATGATGGTAAGGCCTAATGAAATAATGTATTGTAAAATGGCTAGCACACAGAAGATAGCCAACAGAAAGCCCTCTTTCCCAAAAACGGTCACGTGTCATTGGTTGTATTCCTTTCTCTCTCTGTCTCTGTCTCTCTATCTCTCTTTCTCTATCTCTGGGAGAAGATATAGGGGAATTTGAAGGAAAATCTGTTTCCTAAAGATGGTATAACAAATGGGGTGGGGGTGGGGCATCAGTCAGTATCTGCTCCTTATTGCAGGTGAACAGTGAGTCCAAAGCAAACATCACCTGTCTTGTGTACAGCCACGACGGCACAGGTACGTGAGCAGGGCCCAGCTCCTAGGCTGGCATGCCCCTTCTGTCTAGGGAGCTGCTGAGCAGGGAGGCATTTGCCCTCTAGTGCTCACCACTGTGCTATGGCTCCAAGTGGAGCAACTGGGGAGTAGCTGCTGACGGTGAGCACACAGTGGGAGGATGCAGCAGATGACCCTTGGAGATGCCAGGCAACACTTGCAGAATGCTGCAGATGAGATTTTAGTAGAGCCTGTCCTGACATCCAGGCTCCTCGCCTGAGCAGGTTCTTAGGCCTTTGACTCATTCTTAAATTAATGAGCGTGGTCTTGCTGAGCATTCTGCTCTCCCTGGCTTGGCAGTGTGTTCCTAGTCTACTCTAGACACTTGACTTGCCTGCTGTTCCAACCGAGTAAGATGGGTGCTGTATACCTGGGCATTTAGAGGGGGCACTACTGGCAAGAAGCCCCACCTCAACCCCCAGCTCCTGATCCCAGCTTTTTTCAGCCTTTGCCTTCACTGCTGTGTGCTTGTTCTTGGCAGAGCTCCTGGCCAGTTACAATGATGAAGACATTTATCTCTTCAACTCCTCTCACAGTGATGGGGCCCAGTATGTTAAGAGATATAAGGGCCACAGAAATAGCGCCACAGGTGAGACTGTTTTTCTAGGTTTATGTAGTCAAGTCTGTTGATTTGGAGAACCACATTGTCTCATTCAGGTTGTACAAATACGAACTATGTAAAGGAGTAGGCTGCCTGCCACCTAGGACTGTGGGAGGGGGTCCCTAGTTGGGCTGGAGTTGCCATGGTCCTACTGTGCTAGAGAAGAGAGGGCTCGGGTATCTCTCACCACTGCAGTGACGTTACTAGGTTTGAGCATAAGGAGACTGGACTATTTTTTTTATTTCAGGTAACTTCAGGGTTAAAATGCTTATTAGGGAGTCCATGCAAGCCCTCCTTAGTCATTGGTACTGAATTGCCTTTTAAAACAGGGTGAGCTTGTACCTCTAGGGGGGAGGAGGAAGTGATTCTTTTGAATAAGGCAGAGGGAGAGGAATGGTATAGTACCACACCAAAGTTTGCAGTGAAGAGTGGCCTTTTTTTGTTCTGTCTGTGGTTCTTTGCTGCATAATGGAATCACCTGACAGTCTTTTAAAAATACTGATGCCTGGCTCCCATCCCTAGGCATTCTGATTTAATTGGCACAGGATGCAACTTGATTGGGATGTTTGTTTGTTGTTTTTTTAAAATATTTTTCATTTTTTTGTGTGTGTGTGTGGAGGGCAGTGTCACTGGCTCTCGTATGTGGGATCCGAACCGGGGCCCTCTGGCATCCCAAGCCAGTTCTTAACCATCGCGCCACTCGGCCGGCCCTTTCCTTTTTTTTTTTTTAAAGATTTTATTGGGGAATTGGGAGGAGGGGAACAGCGTTGGGGGATCAGGGAAGGGGAACAGACAGGTAGACGGATTGCTGTTTTTGTTCTTCAGTCTAGTTATGGAGGATGTTGCTTCACTGGCCCATGTTGGCATGATCATTGTGCTCTTCCCAGGTGAGGCAATCGGTCTCCAGTCATCGGTCGGCTGCTCACAGCAGCTGCCGGCCGCTCACGCCGGCTGCCGGCCACTCATGCTGGCTGCCAGCCACTCCCGTAGCTCATGGCAGCCCACTGCAGCCCTGCTGCAGCCTGCACCGTTGCCAGCAACTCACAACAGCCCAGCTCCAGGTCAAGCTGTTGTTCATCATCTTAGCTGTAGCGGGCGAGCGTCACTGGCCCTCAATGTGGGATCCGAACCGCAGCCCTGCTGCACAGAGCTGGCGCTCCCAAGCGAGCTCTTAACCAGCTAAGCCACTTGACCGGACCCTTTGTTTTTTCTCAGATTTTTTTTTTAAGGTTTTATTGGGGAGTTGGGGGAAGGGAACAGCATTGGGGAATCAAGGAAGGGGAACAGACAAGTTGCTGTCCTTTTGTTCTTCAGTCTAGTTGTGGAGGACGTTGCTTCACTGGCCCATGTTGGTATCATCATTGCGCTCTTCCCGGGTGAGGCAGATTGGTCACCGGCCTCTGGACGGCCACTCACAGCGGCTCTTGGCAGCTTACATTGGCTGCTGGCCGCCCGCGCTGGCTGCCAGACACACATAGTAGCTTATGGCAGTCCACTGCAGCTTCACTGCAGCCTACGCTGTCGCCGGCGACTCACGGAAGCCCAGCTCCAGGTCGAGCTGTTGTTCACCATCTTAGCTGTAGAGGGCAGTGTCACTGGTCCTCATGTGGGATCTGAACTGGGGCCCTGCTGCTCAGAGCCAGCATCCCAAGCCAGCTCTTAACCAACGGGCCACTTGGCCGGCCCTTCAGATTTTTAAAATTCCAAAACATGCTGCCTTTATTTTCAGGAAAAAAAAAAATGCTTCATGTTATCTTTATGGTAATGCTACAGTAAGCATATTTTCTTAGAATTCTGGGTACATTTCTATTCTTTAACCAATTTTACAATAAATAAGAATATCACAAATATCAACATTAACTCAATTTACAGTGAGTACAGATGTTTCCCAGTGTTTTCCAGAAATTTCATTCCAAGTCCTTTTGTCTTTCAGGTTTTCTCCACTACAATTTGTAGCAAACAGATCATTCAGCACCATCAACAGAATGCTGCTTCCCCTTCTAGTAATCAAAAAATGTTATCATTGAAGGCCCTTAAATTTTTTACTCCGAACATTAATTTTGATTGAGTCAGCCCATTATTTGTTTTCACTAGCCTCAGACCATGTGCAAAATCAGCTTAACACTACATCTGTATGATTGCCAAATGTGTTATAACTAATGAAAGTTCACAAGGATGAACACCAACCAAAAGGCCTGACTTGCCAGATGAAAAATTGTGTTTTTTTGTTTGTTCTTTTTCCCATTGGAATGAAACATTAATTCACTAAATACCAACTTCTGGCACTCAGTATTCTTCACGTCCCTTTCAGGTCTCTCCTCGTATTGCCAGGGCCAGAAGCCAAGGAGCTATACTTGTAGGCTCCCGTGCCTACAGGGTTTTGAGTTTGTTCAGGGTCCCACCATTGAGGTATACTTTCAATTTTCTGTTCAGGTCAGTGAATTCTGATCTAACTAGAGGGAGGGAGCTGTCTATCCATTCATACTACTTGCAGCATATGGGTAGCCCATATAAATGCCAATAAGTAAATCCCACTTCACTTAGTGAGAAAAATACTTAGTTATGCTCCTACTTCCATTAGCTCCCAGCAGATTTCCACTCAGTAGGCCAGTCACCCATCTGGCATCTTTTGTCTCAATAATAAGTCACTTAATAAGCACTGATTGGGATGTTTAAAAGCTCCCTACGTCGTAGTAATACACAGAGAACTTGGGAAATCACTGCTCTTTGTTGTTACCACCACTAACAGATATCTGTCATAATTTTGAGTTGGAGAGAGCAGTTAGTTTTCCTTTTTCTCTCAAGCTGGTGAGAAGAGAGGGAAAAACTTGTATTTGGCTCTTAGTCCATGGGCAGACAAAAGAAGGAGTGCTCGTCTCATGACTGGACATCGTAGTTGGGACTCCTGGCTTTTCTCACTAACTTCAGAGAGTGGATCCCTATTGTTCAGAATCTTGGTAACAAGCACATGCTTCTTATAGGCAATTGTGTGTGCCTCCACCAGTCTCAGGTCAGCTGATGACCCAGGAAGCATTGATAAGGTACCACTAACGTACACATCCCAAGGATAATCTTAGGGTGTAGGACAGTGCTGTCCAGGAGTGGGCAGAGCTGGGGCGATTCAGGTTGGGACAGTAAAGCATTAATGAGGCCTGTGGTTGCTTGATAGATTGTAGATTAATGAGACTTAGGCTGTTGCTAAGGGACTGCCAACTCCTTAACCCTTGGAACTCTTTGGGAGAATAGAAATAGTCTCAGGGCCTGGTGTGATTCTTGTAACTGTTTTACATGCATAATCCCTTGATCATGTTGTGAAAATGAAAGGAATTCTTTGGCTCTTAGCTGGTTTAGAGTTTGTGGATAACTAAATTCCTTATGAGGTAAGTATATATATATAGAGGCCTGATGCTAACCCTCATGTGGTTTATTCCCTCATTTATCATTTCAGTAAAAGGTGTCAATTTCTATGGCCCCAAGAGTGAGTTTGTGGTGAGCGGTAGTGACTGCGGGCACATCTTCCTCTGGGAGAAATCATCCTGCCAGATCATTCAGTTCATGGAGGGGGACAAGGGAGGCGTGGTGAGTATGGTGTGCTGGGCTGGCTGGCTCTCTACTCTATCCAGTCATTAAGGTAGGTTTTGGCATGGCCACTGAATTCTCACTGTGACAACATACCATGTCATATAGAGCTAGCCAGCTAAAAGGCAGTGTGGTCTGGGGGTGCCGAGGTTTCGGTGGGATATTTCCTTTCTCTTCCTGTCTTCCGCCCCTCTTAAGGCATGGTTTATTGAGAAGAGAAAGGGATCTTAGGGAAGAATCTCTGGCCTGAGCGAGATGTCTCTAGGCATAGACCTTTCCCAAAAGAAAAGCATTAGTGTTGAAGGCACACCATCCTATCCTACATAATGCCAAAGGTGTCTCCATGTCTCATTCCTTACAAGCAGCTAAGTAGTGATCCTGACTAGATTCTGAATCAGCAGATACAAGTTGGATGGAGCAATTTTCAGACTATTGGGAAAATCAGAATATTGTCCATAGATTAGATAATGTGAAATTTAATGTTAAATTTATTTGATATGATGATAGCATTCTGTTTATGTAGGACAATATCCTTGTACTTAAGTATTTAAGGGTGAAACGTCATGCTTCCATTTAAATGGATACAAATATAATGTATATAAATATACAGGGGGAGAGCAAATGTGGCACATTTTTTTTTCCCCTAAAGAATAAGCAGCCTGCTATACAACCCATGATCACATCACAGCCTGCCTGACTTGAATTCTACAGACAACCTCCATAGAGATAGGGCACAAAGGAAGCATAGAATCAGCAGCTGGGGCGTGAAGCCTGGTCAGCTCTTAAATGTACCTAGCTAACCATATATATTTTTTTCTTTTTTGAGACCCAGAGTCAGGAAGGAGTTCAGTAGCTTTCTATTACAAGGTTTTTGGTCTGCAGAAGATACGAGAGAGAAGGTTTGGGAGACTACATTGTACTGATTATCCAAGATAGTCTGGTTAAGAGCCTCCAAGGGATGGCTGAGATAGCTTAGTCTCTCTTCATTTTCATCCTTCTAAACTATGAGGAGTTGCAAAGAGCCCACTCTCTCTTGATGAGGTTTATCCAGAGTGGTGTTAGAATTTATAATGGTTTTCGTGCATTCGGGATCCTATTCCTTCTTGTGTGTTTTTTGCCCTGGGGTGAGGCTATTTTAGATTTTCTTCTCGTTGCCTCTAAGTTTTTGGAACCTGTGACCAGTGTAGATCCAAGGTTTCTATGGCCTGAATGTAAATGGAGAGGAGTCTAGAACTCGAAGGTGTGTGTCACTGTTGCCTGCTTCATTTCCTACTCTCCCATAAGTCCTCTTCTATCATCTGCAGTGAACAAACCCAAAACACTGGAGTCTTAACAAGAATTCTGCAGTAGGCATATTGTCAGAAGGAAGTCAAAAGAGGCCCGTGAAATTCTTTCTTGATCATAAACTATTGTCTTGAATTCTGTTCCAGCGAAACACAGGGCTGAATGCCCTTCCCCAGGCCAGCACTTATCTATTTTCCGAAATCACTTTGCAGGCCAGTTTGCTTTCAGCTCAACCAATATTAGGGTTTGATGATTAATCTCGGGCTCAGGTGGGGAGGTTATCAGCTTGGGATGGTTGGGCTCCAGGCCTGATTTTTAGTGGTCATAAGAATGAGAGGCTAGACCAGGGGTCGGCAAACTTTTGAGATGGAAGAGCCACCAGGGCGTCAGCAAACTGCAGCTTGCGAGCCACATGCAGCTCTTTGGGTATGTACATGTGGCTCTGGAGTAAAATTGGAAATGAAGATAAAACTATCATAGTTTCATTTATAAAAATTTTAAAGGATATTATTCACATAATGGTGATTATGTAAAAATATATTTATGGCTCTCGAATAATTTTTCAATTGTTGTGAGGGACAGAATTGGCTCTTCCAGGGATTGGCAAACTTTTGAGACAGAACGTACCCAAAGCGCCGCATGTGGCTTGCGAGCCGCAGTTTGCCGACCCCTGAGCTAGACCATGAAGTATAGAGGCTGCGCCCTGAAGTGAGTCTCCTGGCTGATTCTTGCCGCTGTGAAGCTGAGTGACCCATGTGCTTCTCACTTGGCTTCCCTCTGTTTTTGTTTTTTTGTCTTAATCTCCCAACAGTGGGGTCACCAGGCACCAGTCTCAGTGCAGACTTATAGCAGTTCTGTATCATAATGAACCTTGCCTAGGTCTCTTGACTCTGTTTTTCACTAACTAGTCCTTCCTTTGTTCCTATTCAGGGACAAGGGTGGGGGATGTCAAAGGACAAGCCTTAGTCTCCCCAGAGCATTTCATTGCTTCATCGCATTCCCTGCATCCCCTAGCCCAGTCATATAAGGCCAGAGCGCTCCTCCCTGCTCAGGCATTATTGACAGGATAACTCTAGGCATTTAGACGGGTTCTGGTGAAGTGACTGGGTACCCTGGCCTAGAAGCTGTCTGTCAGTTCCCACTAAAGGCTCCAACTCAGGCACTGTATGTCATTTATTCTGTTGTTCCTTTTGCCATTGGCTTTGTCCTTAGTCTTAAGTTCCAAGGAATTTCTTCCTTGTGCTTTTTAGTTTCAATGATTTGTTCAAGCCGAGTTAGATTAGAGTAGAGGGGTAAGGGGCTTAACGGAAGGTGGATGAATGAGTTCAGGTTTGTGTGTGTAAGTTGTCACATATCTTTTGGTAATGTTCCCCGGCAGTGGAGTTTCTGTCTAGTGCCTCCTTGTGCTCCAGATGCTGGGACCTCTTCCACACTTCCTGAAGGAGCCCAAATAAAAACTCTGCAGTGGGCTGTTATGTGGAGTGAAAAAAAAAAAAGAAATAAGGTTTCTACTTGACTCTTGGGCTCAGACTTAGATTCAGAGTTTTCTGAGCATTTGCTTATTTGTAAAATGGAAGACTAAGAAGACTGCAAGTCTGTAGGTCAGTTTTATTTTCCATGCTGGCCCCTGCTTCCCTCAGCTGCTCTGTGGCGCAGGCAAGGCAGAGGTTGGTCCACAGAGAACTGAGCGAGGCTTTTTGCCAGGGGTTGTTTTCTTGGACTATAGGGCAGCTGCAAGGCGGGGTGGGTGAGGTGAGGAGTGGCTAAGACCACACCTTCTTCCTTCTGGGTGCCTTTCCTATCTATTCCTCATCTGACTAAAAGGCCAAAAATGCTTTAGCAGCTAGATCTGGACCAGCTCTTTTTGTGCGGACGGAAGCTTCCCTGCCCTGCCCTGTTAGGGAGGCTGTAGTTTCCAAGTCAGACAGCAGGGGACATGGGGGCCTTCTGACAGAAGAAAGCTACTTAAGGCAGAGGCCTGCCCTAGTTCCTTTCTCCTGCTCAGTGAATACACCCGAGAGTTCCCAGGCAGACATGAATGTGCCTCCACTACCCCACCGCTCCCCACCTCGGCCTCTGCCTAGCCTGTGCCTGCCTTCAGCTCTGGTAAATAGTGCCAAGTGAATGTAATTGTTCTCTGACTGACTTCTCTGGGGGCTCAGCAGCAGCTGCTGCTTGCTTCATTTTTTAAGTTACTTGCCACTTGGTGAAAGCCACTGAGATGGCTTTTCCCATCCTTGGGCAAGTTGGAGCTTTGGAATCGATAGTGAATGAGGACATGTGGACCTCAATGCCTTTTTGTGAAGCCCGGCCAGTCACCTGCCTACCCCTCGGGCTGTGTCTGGGGAGGAGGCCACCCCGGCCTGTCCGTAGGCAATGAGATGGGCCTGGTCTTATATCCCGTCCGCGTCCAGGGTTTCTTCTACGTCCAGGGCCCTTTGGCTTAGCCTCATGGTGGGTGGGCCTGCCTTTCCAGCAGCTGCCTCAGCCCTGAATCAGGATCGCTATTTGGCTCAAGGTGAACAGAGGTTTTTAAAGCCTAGTCCCGCATGCCCCTGAGCCTGTGCTCTCCGCCTGACCAGGTGAACTGTCTTGAGCCCCACCCTCACCTGCCCGTGCTGGCAACCAGTGGCTTAGACCATGATGTCAAGATCTGGGCACCCACAGCTGAAACTTCCACTGAGCTTACAGGATTAAAGGACGTAAGTAGCTGACCGCCGTTGTTGTTATTTACGAGTCTTATTGTCATAGAAAGGAATGACTTGCTGCCCAGTTCTTTAAAGACACTGCTCTAACACCCTTCCTCCCCCACATTCCTGTCACTGCCTGTCTAGGAATTGTCCCAGTCCAGAGGGCAGCTTTGAAGTGCCTTTAGTTCATGCTCAAGTGGGGAGAGGACGTTTTCAGGAAGAATTGTTCTATTTTAAAGCTTCCCACATTCTTAGTGGAGGAACCTGAGGCTTCCTTTCCTAATCTAATCTACTCCACTTCAATTTAACAGCTCCTGAGAGAGCTTTTATTGAGATAGGACACTAGCCTTTTCTGATCAGGTCCATGGTCCCTACTCATTCCCTACCCGCCACGTCTCCAACCCTTTCGGGTTCCAGGTGATAAAGAAGAACAAGCGAGAGCGGGATGAAGATAGCTTGCACCACACTGACCTGTTCGATAGCCACATGCTCTGGTTCCTTATGCATCACCTGAGACAGAGACGCCATCACCGGGTAAGCTGGAGGGGGACGTAAGCTCCCAAGTTCCAGTGCACACTTCCTCACTGCTGTAAAGAGGAATTGGGTGGTCTTGACTGGGTTTCCTATCCATTGTCCCTCGTTCCTGCCCAAGCCCTGCTGTAGCCTTAGAAGGCCACCCGCAGAAATGGGTCTGTTTTTTGTTGTCCGTTGCATGCACACACAGTGCTGTCTTCATAACGGCATGGCCATTAGGATGGGGAAGGAGTTGAGAAGAAAGTGTGAGTCTCAGGGCGACCCTTCTTTTCCCCTCTCATGCCACAAGAGGCACAGGGCACGGGTTAGCAAACTGTGGTGGTTCGTTGGCTACCTGTTTTTGTAAATAAAGCTTTATTGGAACACAGCCACGCCCATTCTTTTATGTATTGCTGGCTGCTTTCACACTGCAACAGCAGAGTTGCAACAGAGATATGGCCCATGAGTCTAAAATATTTACTCTGGCCCTTTAAGAATACTTTTGCTGACCCCTGGCCTAGAGTATCTGAATTATAGCTAAAACACCCAACAGGTTTGTCCTCGTTCCAGGGAAGTTACTAACAAGACTTTCCCATTCTACAGCGTTGGCGAGAACCTGGGGTTGGGGCCACAGACGCAGATTCGGATGAGTCTCCCAGCTCCTCAGACACATCGGACGAGGAGGAGGGCCCCGACCGGGTGCAGTGCATGCCGTCCTGAGGCCTCATACCGAGGAGGGGCGGGCTGGGGCTGCCAACCCGATCCTGCCTGGGGAGCCGTTTCCTGGCCCAGGCCCTTTACATTCAGCAGAAACGCACTTTGGACTTTTTGCTTTAGTTAAAAGAAAGACATCCCAGGAAAAGGACAAACCGGAGAGGAGTCAACCTGCAGAGAGTACCTAGGGGTGGGGTTGAGCCCTGGACTGGAGTTCTATGAAAAGGTGCAGAGGACTCGGCAGAATGGCCTCTCCCCAAAGCTTTTATTTTGTGGGGGGAAAGGGGCGCCTATCTTGTTAACTGGTTTGGGATAGGGAATGAAGTTTCTTTAATCTCCCTTGTTTCTTGGGTGGGGGTTGGGGATATAACTGGCTATTCAGTACCAAGGGTCCAGAGTGGGGGTGGTGGAAGTGCCACTCTTTCTTTGGTTTAGGTTTTTGACCTTTTTTTTTTCCTTTACGTTTTGAAAATCTATGACAGTTTTATTATTCCCCCCACCCACCCCGAGCAACCCCATCCCAGTCAGTATCCTGTTTTTCTGGGAAGTCCTTAGAGCCCCTAACCATTCCACACTCTTTACTTTCTTTCCACCCCATTCATTCTCTGTACTTACCACAGTGTTTTGCACTTGATTATGTATCCTTCACTCTCTCCTCTTTATCCCAGTACCCCCTAAATAGGTCTGGTGAGGGAGGTTGGGGGGAAGTGGGAGGAGGGGCAGAAGTGGAGGAAGAATAGGAAGGATGTTACCTCTTCTGTTACTTTAAAAAAAAGTTTGGTGGCAGCAATCTCCCTGCCCCTATCACTGTTAGAGGCCTAATTTTATATCTATAAATATATTAAAAAGCAAGTCAAACTTGGATGTATCATGTTAAAGTTATTGTTAAAATTTAAAAACCTATACTCTATGACTGCAATAAAGGGACTTACAGGAGAGAGTGAGCGAGAGTAATGATGTGGAGCTGATACCTGGGGTCGGCCTGCCCTCTGTGTGGCCATTGGAGATTGGGGCTTACCGTTTAGGTTGTAGGAGGCTTGAGAATGGAATAATCCTCAGTTTTGCCCTTCCCTGCTTTCCTGCCATGGTCTCAGGGTTGGGGAAACAATTGCTTTCAGCTTTTTGCCTCAGATCTACCTCTCCTTCAGTCTTATGGGGGTTCCCAGGATGGCTCTTCTAACCAGAGACTGGCCCATCTTTAAAACTTGACCGAGCTTTGATTTCAGAAAGGGTCCTGCCACTGCAGACCGTCTCTCCTAGTATCATGTGACAGAAGACACTCACTTAACCTTTAGCTGCTTGATTCTTCACACCGTCCAACCCCATACCAGCTCCCTTCCTAATAAATAGAAGAGTATCTATAGGAAAAGACGTCCTGGGTTTGGCTTTATACCTTGTCCACCTCTTGATATCTTGGGATTGAGGAACACGTCATTAATCATAGGATTGATTTAAGGTGGCTGGGCCTTGGACACCTGTCTGACTTAATCACTGGCCACTGAATATGAAAGTCCCAGTTGAATTCTTGCCCTTAAATTTAAGCTTTTGCTGCTATTTCTCTGCACCCCCAACCACAGATTCTGCATCCTGGGACAGATTCTGCTAAAACAGGCCAGGAAGGAAGGGAAGAGTGAAAGCATGGGATTCCCAGGCACGCCTTCCTCCGGCTCCTTTCCCTAGCAGCTCTCATCCCAGATGTTAGCTGCTGCCCTTCCTTCCTGAGGTAGAGAATGTGTGGTGACTGAGTAGTCTGTCTCCTGTTGCTAATGGGGTGATGGAGTGGGCTAAAAACCGTGCATTCTGGAATTTGTTGTATATTTTCTCTTAGTAAAGCTTTTTTTTCCTTGACTGCTGCTCAGTGTGATGTGGGCCATTCATTTGTGACGGGCTATTTTTGATCCTTCCAATATAGGTGCATGGCCCTGCCCTTATTACAATTTTAGGAAGTCCATTCTGGGATATCCATGTTTTCCAGTGCTTGGGCTCCAATTGGAGACTGTTGTAAGTGGAATAGGCCCCATAGCTCAGTGATACGTAGAAGGTGGGGGAAGGGAGAGATACTGTTAGGCGTGTTTTTCTGGTCTCTGTTCCACGGTGCCATGAGGGATTTGCGGGTAAATATTGCTCCCTCTTCCTTCCCAGTCATCCAAGATCCTGATCATTTATAGAAATCCTACAATCAGTCAGGTACAATTACAGTCAATCTCCTTTATTCCAGGGTTAGAACAAGGCCGTGTACACCACACACGGGAGCACAGGACAGAGCAGTCTCAGCTGAACAGGGTGGGAGGGCAGGTTAGTCTTTTTAGATGATTTTGCCTTACAGAGAAATGATTAGACTGCTAAAAATGGCCCCGTCTTCCTTCTCACACCTCATCCTCATGCTCTCCTCTCTTCAAAGGCAGGCTCCGTACACATTCTCATTCATGTTCTTGCTCTCACTCTCATGTGACATATCCTGACTGGAAAGACAATTGATGTTCATTTCCCCCTCCCAATTCTATAAGTCTCTCTCTTTGAGGGAGAAGCCAGACGGGGCTTGGGGAACTTGGAAAGGTCCTTTAAGGCAAAACTGTGGAGTACTCGAGGTGTATGTGTTAAGGCAGGTGTCCGCAGCCGTGGCCAGAGGGGGCAGGCAGGCTGGGCTGGGCTGGGAGGAGCGGGGGCTCTCCATCCAGTCTGGCTTCTTCCCGCTTCCAAACAGCCAGCCCTCCCCTCCCACTAGCGTTTTGCTCCCACATCTGTAAAGCCCCTAACTTAAACTTTCTCTAAATAGTCTGTTGAGATTATGTGAATTTAGTTAAAAGTTTTCTTTTTTGTTTTGACTGTGTAGCAACTTGACTCTGCAGCTCCCTTCACTGTGGCATTCCCCTCCCATCCCTGCTCTGGCCTAGACAATAAGTTAATGCTAGACACCACAAAAAAGGGCTGACATGGCAGTGCGGGTTTAATATACATATATGTAGAATATATATGTACACACAGTTAGCACGGTCAGGGTGGGGAGGGGCATATGGGACAGGCAGGAGGCTGGGGTCACTGTACTCTAGTGATTTGGCTAGGAGGCGTTCACAAGCCCAAGGCGCCAGGATATTGAGGGAGAGGGGTTACCAAGTCCCCTCCTGGATTGATTTGGGGATCAGTACAAAGGAAAACACTCATTTCTTCCCTTCTTTCGGGCTTGGGGTGTTCTAGACCAGGGAGCGGGAAGGCTGCCTACAATAACCACACTGGGACCCTGTAGGTGGGGGCGAAATTGAAGTTAAAACCTAGGGATCTCATTCTCCAACCTCCCTAGGCTCACTGTCAGTATGTGCAACAGTCTGAAGAGGAATAAAGGAGTGGAAAAGGGGCCCCTCGGCCCCATCTCAGGCTCAGGGGAGCATTGTCCTAGCACAGTCTCTCCAGAGCAGAGGTGGGTGGGGGATATCTAATGCTGGGTGCTCTGTGGGGTTTGAATTCTGGGGTCAGGAAAGGATCCCGTGGTCCTCTGTCATTAGAGCCCTGGCTCATACCCATCCTAGGCCCCTGAAGGGTACAGCATGGGGTACAAACACTGAACTCGGGCTGTGCCCCTCCCAGGTGGGAGTTGGGTAGCCTCTTCACCTTCCGCTGCTTTTCATTAGATGCACCTACCTCTCCTGTGCCTCACTCTACCTCAGCTCTTCAATGTAGGATAATGTAGGTCCTTTCTGCTCTCACACGTGAGACATGGAGGAAGGGGAAGTAGGAGGAATGTACCCATTTCTATATGTATAGAAACAGCCCCTCCTCCCCGTAGAGTGGGGAAACAGCCCCCCCCAGCCTCTGACCCCCAGCCCCTCACGAGGAAGAGGAGCTAGATGAGCTAGACATGTAGACAGACAGCCAGAGCGTGCGCACTCGCACACACACGTGTACAGTAAGGGGGTTAGGACCAGGTTAGTAAGTGGGTAGATTTTGGGGGGGTTGCCCTTGTCCCCTCCCCTGGAGGATTGGGGAAGGGAGTGGTTCGATGAAGGTCCAACCTTCCTCCTCTTCCTCCCCCTTGCTCAGGCTTTCTTCGGTGGAGGAGCCAATTTGATGATCTCTTCCTCAGAAGGCTGCCGGATAATGTCTGGGGGCAAAAAGGGATGTGTCCAGGGACGGAAGTCGTGGGAGACACCAGGCAGGCCCACTGAGCATCAGCCTTCATCCTCCCACCACAAGGGCCATCCATGGGAGGGGGTAGAGGTGCACAGTGAAGGCATGGCCTCTTACCTTTGTACTTTTTGGCACTGGGGATACGGGTTAGCTTGGTGTCCAGTTCATCCTCCTCAGAGATCTTCAGAACACGGGTTCTATAGTCGACCACCATAGTGAGCAGGTCAGGACGGCGAGAGATCTCAAAGATGTGCTCAATGTAGGAGAGGTTGTCTGGAGCAAGGCAGGAGACTGATGGTCAGAACTAAGCTGTAGAGGTCAGTTTCCCTCATTCTATCAGACCAGGCTTACGGGACCAAGGTTGAGTTGCTCACTTGTTATTGGAAGGGGCAATACTGGAGGAAGAAAGGCTTATAAGCCAAGAAAAGAAAGTTAAGGCATCAAAAAAACAGGACAGAAGACGATTCCCAAGAAGGGCAGATCGTCGATCAATGAAGTTTCTAGACTATGGATTCAGAATGAGGGATTTAGGTTAAACACCACGTCTGATAGGGATGTGTGTGTTGGCGGCAGGCAGAATAAAAATGAACTGGCCTTCCAAATACCCCGTCCCCACCTTCCCACTTTTCCTCCAACCAGTATCAGAATTTCCTGATAGCCCAGGGGGGACTGGAGGAGTGGAATCTATAGACAACCCAGGAGAGCTGTGCCGAGGGAGAAAGGTAATTCTGAATCAGAAGGCACAGCCGTGACCAGAGGATGGTTTCCATGGCTTGGCCAGTCCTGGGAGATTGCCGGCACCCTTAGACCCTCTTATCGGGCTTTTCCCGTCTGACTTCTGCAGTAGAACTAACGTCCTCCTCAGCCTCCCTCCCTGCCATCAGATTCATGTCTTTGAAGGGCCCTCGGTCACGCACCTCACCTATCAACTACCCTGTCACTTAAGGCCCTTCACGGCACAGTCTTAACTTACCTTTCCAGCCACTTCTAAACATAACCTATGCCCCGGCAAGTTAAGCAGGACCCCTTGCTTTTCCGAACACACCAGACAACTTCCCCACCTCTGTGACTATCGTCCTTGACCTAGCATGACCTTTGGATTCTGCCTTGGAAATCCCACTTGCCATCGAGGGCCATCTTACATACCAATTCCTCCCTAAAGCCCCTCCCAGAGCAGTGTTCTCTAAAAGTGGATAAGAAAATCTTATAACCTGTGGTTTTATTTTAAATAGTATCACTTTTAACCTGTATTTTAATATTCGATTACGTATGTGATAATTGCACAATCATATCTGAATAAGATTTTTTACTGACAAGGGCACACTGAAGAGGGTAAAGACCACGGCCCTAGAGCTCCTCCTGTCCTGCCTTGTCAGAGAGGAGTGCACACTGTGTGTACAGGGGCTCTGAGCTCATTTCTGTTTGCTCAGTGAAAGCCCGAGAACGGCTGCGGCGTGCTCCGGCGTCTGCCCCACCTTTGTCCAGCTTGTTGTGGCTCTCCAGGAAGCTAAACCAGGCGCTGCCTGTGGTGATCTCCTCACTCTTCTCACTGGGGATGTCCTCCTTGCAGGCTGATTTGAGCTGCTCCAGATCTTCAAGGGTGATGTTGTTGGTCAGGTCCTGGAGGAGGGTCCCGTACTCAGCCATGACTGGGGTTGGGAGGAACAGAGGGAGAGGAGGCTGAGCTTGAGCTTGGGGGTCTGGTTCACTCGCTGGCATGTCCCACCCCTCCTCTACCCCGCCAGGCAGGTGCCTAGAATGGGGCTGGGGCAGGCCAGGGCTGGAAGGAGAAAAGACCGAAGGGGGGTGGGAGTAAACAGGAAGATATTTGGAAGCTAGGGACCAGGCTGGAGCCTAGAGTGACAAGTCACACCTCCTTCCCCCCCCCATCTTTTTTTCTTCATTTTACCCTCTCTAACAGTAACCCTGGCAACAGCTCCCCTGGCTGAGGAGGCGGTTACCATAGCAACCGGCTCCTGACTTTCTACAGGCTGCCTTCAAGTCTCCCCCACCCCCAATCACCTCACCCACCTGCACCCCACCCCTTACAAAAAAAAACAAACCAAAACCTCCAAAACAACGACCACAGGAAGAGGCTTGCTATGGCAGCGAGAAGCTAAAAAGAAGGGGCTAGAGAGGGTTGGTTGGATCTCATGTTCTATCTTCCTTTTTTCCCCAGAAGCAAAGGGGTTGGTCCTTCACTTCAACTTCCTATCACCCCACAAATGACTCATTTTGGATGGATGCCTAGTTGCTTGGTCTAATGGTCCTCTGGCCCCTCTGCTCAGCCCTGTGTTCAGTCATTAGGGCTCAGAGGGTGGGGGCAAGGAGAGGCAAAGCAGGGAGTCACCCCCACCTTTGTGGAGCCCATTTTCTCCCTTGGTTGCTGCTGGGCCTCCACACAGCCGTCTCCCCTAGTCTTTGTGCTGTGCTTGCAGCCCCCACGCCCAGGAATACCAAGCGGCTGGCTCTGGCCCCCTGCCCAGTTCCCAGGCTGGCTGGGTGGCAGGGGGAAGGGGTTTAGATGCAGCTTTGGGAGAGTCTCGCAGGAAGGCGGCTGCCACTCGTGCTTGCGTCAACATCTGGCCAGCACTACCTTCAGCATGACCTCCCAAAGGGGGCTGGGCAAAGCGAGCTCTCACCTAGGCCTTCACCCCACCCCTCTTTCATGGAGATCCTTAGGTGAAATGTAGAAGACATTCAAGGCCCTCCTTTCACTCACTAAGACAGGAACTGGCTCAGACGAGAAGAAAGAAGGTCAAACTTTGGAATGAATTTTCTGGATTTGATATGAAACTCTAGTGGTGAGTTTAAAAGGGCTTTTTTTTCCCCACAAGGAGTATATATGTTACAATCAAAAGTAAAGGATTTTAGAAAGTAAATTGTCATAAATACTCTGTGGTTACACCAAGGGGCGGAACAAGGAACCAGATGACCTTGTACTTGACTGAGACTACCCACAAATCATGCCAACAATGGGCTGGGAATGTGGCAGATAGAAGGGGGCTGGTTGACACCCCCCATTTTCCTTATACCTGGCCAGGGAAACTGAGGCAGCGGGTAACATAGAGGCATGGAACCAGAAGTCCCCATTCCCAGCCCCCTACTTGGACCAGAACAAACAAGTCCCCCTTGGTGGCAGGCACTGTGACACAAATACACAATGAGCCAGGCAGCAGGGCCAGCACGACCCCCACAAGAAACAGGCACTAATAGGCATGCTCACTTGCACACCCAGGTGCAACCAGACAGAAGGGCCCAGCGGTGGCCCTGCCAGGCTGGGCCAGGAACAATGCTCTCTGACTGTCAGCACCAGGAACCGTCTCAGCCTTGAAATCTAGGTCACAGCAGAAGGCTCTGGAGCCCAGCTGCCCCCTCCACTGATAATCCAAGGACAGAAAAGCGGGGGAGGGGGGTGAGGGCAAAGGGGATAACGGGGAGGGGGTCCAGAGATGAGAAGAATGGAAGCACGGGGGTGAGGAGAGCTGAAAACGAAGGGGCGGCATGGGAAGGAGACAGGAAGACCCTGCCCCTATGGAGGAGACCCTGGGACCAAGCCATCAACTGGAAAATGGAGCAGAATTTAGGGTGATCCTGCCCTGCTTTCACATGGAAAAGTTTGTAAATAGAGCCGGTGGGAGGAAAGGGGGGGAGAGAATGTGTGTGTGTGTGTGTGTGTGTGTCTCCTGAGAGGAGTTAAGATTTCGGGCTCTGAACCTAAAACACAGGAGGTGGGCGGGCAGGGACTAATGTGTGTGAGACACTCACCCACATAGGCTGGGGCGGTGGGTAGGAGCTTTCTAAGAGTGAAATAGATACAAGGACGCCCTTTAGAGAGACGGGGTGGCATGTTCCAGTGGCAGGGGGACGTGTGTGTGCCCGAGTCCCACTATGGGCGCTCACCCCTGGTGCGGGCACAGGCATGGGAGGCAGTTACTGGTTCAGCGGGCGTGTGGTTGTACGGGCCATGGATGTGCGCGTGCCAGCACTGGATATGGACGGCTGTGAGTGTAGGTGGTCTGTGTGTCTGTATGTGTCTGAGCCAGCCGAGGGTACGTGTGAGAAGACAGGTCACCACAGGCTCATATCAAGAGAAAAGAGGAAGGGTGAAGGGACCCTACAGAATGGAGGAAGACAGCTGGGCTTGGGAGAGGGAGAGAGGCTGCAATTGAGGAATCCTGCGGGAGGGACGCAGGGAGCACAAAGCCCAGGAGGAGAAGGCGGCTGCCTCAGCTTGGCGGTTACCATGGCAACCTCTGTTCTGGGTGCCCCCGTCTCAGTCCTGGACTATGACACCAATGGATGGGAGGGTGTGTGGGGAGTTGTAAGAAAGGACAACTTGGAGTAAGGCCCCTTGAGGGTGCAGGGCAAGGCAGCTGGACTGCCTTCCTCCCCAGAGACAAGCCGGCCCATTTGCCCGTCTGGGTGTGGCAGCAGGGCTAAGAGCAGGATAAGTGGGGGGAAACTTTTGGGGTGCAAGGAGGTAGAATCTCTTTATGTGGCTCTCAAGTCTCACTGATCATTGTCCCTGGGGTGGGCTGGCCATGCTGGGGCTTGACAGAAGTTTGGCTTCTTCACCCTCGTTCCTGCGAGTCACACTCCCTTAGGGCCTATGTCCCCGTCTCCTGCCCTCCTACACTCTGAGGAGTCCTCCTAATCTCTGGAGCAGCACAGAGGCTGCCCAGGGAACACCAGGCAGCCTGGGTGGAGGCCATTCTTGGGACAGGATACCAGGGCAGGAACCAGGAACCGGAGCCGAGGCTGCCAGGAAGTCAGCCCCTTCCCCCCCCAGATCATTCTGTTCTCTGCTCACAACTTACTCACACCTTCCTTCCTCCCGCCCTGTCCTTCCAAGCTGGCCCCAGGTGGAGCCCTAAGGTCCGACCAACTTAGGATGCCAAGGCAGAAGGGCAGAGGGCAAGGACCACTCATTATATATTGACCTGTAGGGGAGGACCTGGGAGCATGATAGGAAGATGATCCCTGGGCACTGGGGGAGGAAGGAGCAAGCCCTGGGGGCATGTTGAGAACCCTAGCAAAATGGGACCAGCACCTGTGGAGGAGGTGGCAACACCAAAAGATTTCTGTGCAGTTTGACATTAATTTGTGATTATCCCCACTCCCTAGCATTTGCTTCCAAATCCTCAATAAATTTAAGAAAGCCTGAGGATTAAGAGCCTCCCTCACATCTGCTGCAGCTGTGTAAGGCTGAGGGGCGGGGCCTGGAGATCCCTGCAGTGGGCAGGAGGGGACTGGTAGCTTGTAGGCACTC